TACCCCTAAGTGAAATATGGACATTTTGAACATTTCAGAAGTGCCTTAGACGGTGGGCCGGGGGGTCTGCTTGGAAAACCCACTGATGCAGTTTGACTCTGTTCACACAGTCACTGTGAGTTGGAATCAACTTGATGACAACCAGACAACAACCTGTCTAGCAGCTAATGTCATCTTCTGAGTCTGGGTTCTTGAGTTCGTTTTTGGTAAGCACTGGTAAGCTCAGTACCTAACTGGGGGGGAGGGGTGGGTTGGTCTGAAAACAGGGGCTTTGTCCTGAGGATATAAACTCTCAGTTGGACATGCTCCCTTGCATTATCCTCAACTTCTAATTCTCTCCTTTGCTAATGACTTCAGCTGTGACTCTTCGTAGGTGAGGCTCTATCCCGAAACCGAAACGTGGATGACTGCCCTTTGGATAAGCCTGCTGCCAGCCTGAACAATGAACTAGGAGCCAAGCTGCTGCTGAGATGCGGAGGCGAAAGAAAGAGAAGAGGACAAAGTCTGTGAATGTCGTGGAGGCTCCAGAGAAAGACAGCTAATGAGACGGAGTTTAGGGTCAAACATCTTCCTCAGAAAGAGAGAAGGGCATTTGGAAAACAAGAGGGATGGAAGAGTTAAGTGAAATTTGCCAAGTGGCCTGAAGAACAAGAAAACGGAAGACTGAGAAATGAAGTGGGCAGCACCCATCCAATGGAAGCCGATCATCATACATACGCACCTTCTCCTTTTGAGACCACTGGTCCAGCACATCCCCAGCAAAGTTGAAGTTCTTGGGCAATGCCCTTTCACAGCGATTTATGGCTTCAAAGTCATTAAGAGTCAGAGGTCCCCAAAGCTGGTGAGTTGTGTGAAATTTCTGGCCAGGTGGCTTCGTGAGCCAGAGCAATCTAGATGCCTGGTACGAAAATAAAATCCTCATGATTCTCCAAGAGCTTTGTCTAGCGATATGGACGTCGAAGTAGCACAACCTGTAGGGAGAGATGGGAGGAGGATGTCAGTCTCTCTTTACCCCCACAATGGGATTGGGAAGTGAACTTGTGGCTGTGTGTGCTGCTCAGAAGTTGGAGAAGCAAACCAAACCCAACTCACGGTCATTGAGTTGATTCTGCCTCAGAGAAGCTTGAGAGTACCTGAGAATACCTTAGCCTCCTTCAGAACTGTTGTAGTTAGCCACAGACTGGTCTCCCTGCCACTGGATGCTCCCTCTTCAGTCTATGACTAGATTAGTCATATGTGTGTGTGTGTGTGTATCCAACTGCAGAATTGTCAAGCTCGATCTCTTGTCCTTAGCCAAACAACAAATCAACAGAGTACTGCCTCATTGGCTTGGCATTCAAGGCTTCATCCTTCCATCAGCCTCACACTCTGTTCCTACCTGCTGAATCCTCTGCTTGAATCTCCTCTCCCAGAACAAGCAACTCTTCACTTTCCATAAATATCTGTGTTTACCATGAAGATTTGGCCAGCCATACGACTTTCAGCTGGCTAGCCTGAATATAATATAACAGATTACATTCACAATATACATAGTTCTATTCACAAGATAACTTCAGAAACCTTGGTTTAAGTCCTGGACAAGCTTTTTTTTTCTGGCTGAAGGACATCAGG